AGAGAGAGAGAGAGAGAGAGAGAGAGAGAATCCCAAGCAGGCTCCATGCTGTCAGTGCTCAGAGCCCAACACCAGGCTGGATCTCAGGAACTGAGAGATCATGTCTAGTGTGGGTATCAAGGGCCTGATACTTAACTGACTGAGCTACTCAGGTGCACCTGTTGCCTCAAATGTTCAAAGATGAATGACACAGAGAAAATAAATCATTCCATGTCTCGCTGGAAGACAGCTCCTGATGACAAATATCAGGTTATACACATACGGTTTAAAACTGGAGCAAATGTGCCCAGAAAAAGAGTCTCCCATCTGCCTTTAAATCCCCAGCCCTGCTTCTCCATTTTCTCACAGTTCATTGTAGCTGTGTTTCTCAAAGCTACTTTCTATCAATAATCTTGATACATCAATGTATTTAGAGTTCTCTAATTTTGTTTATGAGAGTCTTGTACTTTTCCTCATAATGATCTTTGAATATTTTGTTCAATTTAGGCCTAAATAGTTCACTTTGGGGATGTCTGTGTAAATGGTACTGAGTTTTCAGTTTCAAATCCATTTCTTCATTGCTGGTGTGAAAGTGAGTAATTGAGTGTCATGTAGGAACCTTGCATTTTCTGCAACTGTGGAATCATCCCTCATCAGATGACGAGTATTTCTGCTTTTTGGTGTGTCTATTCTTTGCATTTTTTACATAGAAAACCATGTCACATGCGTACAAGTTGGTTTTATTTCATCCTCCACAGTCAGTATACCTCTTTTTGAATTTTCTTAAGGTGAAGGAGAAGCAAGCCCCACCCTGAGCAGGGCTGGAGGTGCTGGCCCATGTGTGACCCAGGAAGTGCATGGGAGGAGGGAGGCTGTGGTCAGCAAGGGCCTCCTTGGACCTCAGAGCCCACAGATCTACAATCACAGGCCTGTTTCCTCTGCCTGGGGGTGTGAGAAAGGAGAGAGGCTGCCCTGGGGCCGGCTGGCCTCCCTCCCCCTCCAATGTCACTTCGCAAGTGTAGGAGGTACTTAGATTTGGAAATATCTGTGGCCTAGAAGCCTGAGATGTGGTCCTGGTTCTGCCATGTCCTGGCTTCAGGACCATGGGCTCATCAAGTTCCCTAAATGGGCCCTGACTTTCCTCATCCATGAAATAGCCTCTCACAGGGACTGTGCCTGTGAACCACAGAAACATAGACCTACTGTGGTCATTGAATTAGCTCTCTTGTTGTCCAGGATGGCGGGAGGAGATGGAGATCTGTACCTGGAGGATGAAAATGTCCCTGGTGTGGTGCCAGCATGGAGTGCCCGGTGGCTGCCCCTCCCGTGTCCCTGATCTGCAGCTGCTGGGGGCTCCTTTCTGGCCCTGCCCCCCCCCCCCCATGCAGTGTTTTTCGCAAGCCAACCCTCCTCCTCTGAGAGGCTCCCAGGTATGTAGGAACGGAGATAGGGGCATGGCCGACTTGTTCCCCATACAGTGCAGTGTGGACTCCATCCAGGAGATTTTACCCCCAAGGCTGAAGGACTGAGCCTCCTGAAGGATGTCTCCGTTATGGGACGGGAGCCGGGGAAGAAGGCAGTGTTGATGCTCTCCTGTGTGATGTGCACAGAGCAGGTCAGGGGTACCCAGAGAAGATGCAGGGACTGCTGGAGGCCACACTGTGGACGGGACAGGAGCCGGATGATGGATTTCTCGGGGATCATGGGTGGGAGTCCAGCCCCTGCTCCTGACCTGCTGAGTGACCTCTGATGGTCGTACAAACCCTGAGGATGGGCTTCCACGTCCACAAAGTGGATTTACCAGCTAATAGGCTGACGACCTTCAGTGCGTGTTCCCAGCCCTCCTGGGGTTCCAGCCTCAGGATCCAAGGGTCTGAGCAGCTGAAGGGGAGCCTCAGTGGGTGGGGAAAGTTCACTGGCAGGGGGTACTTATGGTGATGCTTCCTGGGTCCAATGGAGACATGTTCTCAGAGGTCATGGGGACCTGTCCGGGTTGAAGAGGCCAGACTTTCAGCAGGTGGCCGTGAACTTGGGCAGCTGAGCCAGTGGCCAGAGGAGCACATCCCTGTCACCTTCCTGTGTGTGAGAGCAAGGGCAGGGCTGGCAGAGCGTTGGGGGGATGTGCAGGTGGGGGTTGCCCTGTGTGTGAGGGCAGGGTGGGGCTTGGGTGCCCAGAGATCCATGGGTGCCAGCAATAGGGAAATGCCCATATTTGCATGGGGTGGGGGTGGGGGTTGACTCTTCCCAGAAAGCACTTTATTTTTCTGCATCTTCCTTAGGCACCTGACAGTTAAAGTGCAGAGAAAATCAGAAAGAAAATTTGACTTGTTAAATGGTGTAAAGATGGAGGACTGGCCCAGAACAGTGGGGTCCATGTGTATGGTGGTTAGTGTGACTCTATGCCTGGCCATTAGCTGTCCCTGGGAAGCAGGGACACTGGGCTGAGTGTGAACTCGGGGACAGAGGTAAGCGATCCCCAGAGGGCCGGCTGGGGAGCTGAGATCACCAGGCCGGTGGTGCCCACAGGAAGGGATGGAGCCTCTCCCACCCAGCGGCTCATCGAGGGGGTGTTCATACATTCATCTGCCATCATCCCTGAGACCCAGCGCAGGGGGAGGAAAGAGGAAGCATCTGAATGGTTTTCTCTAGAGCAGCCAGCTTGTCCTAGACGGTTAGCTCCGCCCCTGGGGTGGGAAACACTAAGAGCTGCTCAGAGTAAACCGTTCTTCCTCTCTTGCTTCTGCTTCTGGATGTTTCTCCACAGCCCAGTAGGCCCAGAGCAAGCCTGGAGGGAGGCAGCTGTGATGGGAACCCGCCCAGAGGCCCCCCGCCTGTGCCGGGCCCCCTGGCTCCTGGGATTCACCAGCCTCCTCCTCAGTGAGTGTTCTGGGTCCCTGGGCGGGAGGCCGCTGTGCGGGGCAGGGAGGGGGGCTCCCGCGGGTCTGATGTCTGTGGGGAAGGACCTGAAACACCAACTGTATTGTATGACACATGAGGGGCCTCTGGCTCCCAGCCGGGGCCGCCTTGCACAGGGGCCGCCCAGCCTTTGCAGCCGTGTGGGGAGGATGGGGCGGCCCAGAGGCCCCGTCGGGGCGGGGGGGACCCTGCTCTGGCCCCTGGGGCAAGAGGAGAGCCCGGAACACACCGAATTCTGTGTGACCCAGGAAGGACGGGCGGTCCCCAAAATTTGAAGGCATCTGCGCCCACTTGCTGGAAGGGTGTGGACGGAACATGGGCGCTGACCGGCCTCAGGAGGGGGTGAACGGGGTGACAGGAAGGTCCCCAAAAAGGAACCGAAAGAAAAGACTGTCCTAACGAAACCCAGACATTCCCGTTATTACTTCCTCTGAGAGCAACTGCTTTCGTGTAACAGATTAAATAAAAACAAAGGAAAACACTGAGGTCTCAGAGCTATGAATTCCAGGGAATGCTGGGAAAGCTTTTCTTTTCTGTAATGTTTTGCTTGTGAGCCCCTGGCTCCCTGAGGGGTGGTGCAGGGGATCCAGGAAATTCCCGGACTGAGGGCATCTGCAGACAGAGTGTTTCTCATTAGCAAATGAGTTTTCAAGGCTCTGATATCCCTCTTACCCAAGTAATTTTGTCAACAACAAAATGTAGGCTTTCTCTTTCTTTCCATTTTAATTAACTGGAGAAATATGTGAAATTACATAGTTTTCTCCTTAAACATCTGTTTGGAAGATTATGTAAGAAGAGAGAAAGAAAAAAAGGAAGAAAGAAAGAGGAAGGAAGGAAGAAGAAATGGAAATTTTATGTTGACTGTTGAGTGTTAAAGTTTATCTTCTTTTTTTCACTTTTTTTTAATGTTTTATTTATTTCTGAGAGAGAGAGAGACATAGCATGAGAGGGGAGGGTCAGAGAGAGAGGGAGACACAGAATCTAAAACAGGCTTCAGGCTCTGAGCTGTCAGCACGACTGAGCCATCCAGGCGCCCCAAATTTTACCTTCTTTAAATACATCTCGACTCTCCGGATCACAGACACCTGTGCCCCTGGCCCTCTGTCCTTCTGTCCTTCTGTCCTTCTGTCCTTCCTCTCTGGGATTAGCACCGTCTGCTGATCTGAGACTCTCATCTCCTTCCTCCCACCTCAAGGTGCGTCCAGCCCTGGAGCCCACATCACCATCCAGCCTGGGGACAGGCCTCCCCTGCAGCCTGAGGGCTGGGCCTCCTCCCTCCCTGCTTCCCTCCCTCCCAGCAGGTGCCCCAGGTCCCTGCCCTGCCAAAGCCCAACAGGCACCTGGGCCCCTTTCCCAGGAGAATAGCTGGGACGGGAGATCCCAGAGCTGCTGGGACCCGCTGAGAAGACAGCAGGTCTGCAGGGAGAGCCTCTGTGCAGGGTGGGGGAGGGCAGAGCAGAGGAGGGCTGCAGGCAGCTCTCTGCAGAAGCACTGGGCTGGGGCAGAGGGAAGCCGGCCCCAGGTCTGGCTCTGTCTTTCATGACCCAGGAGAGGTTTCCTTGGGATGGAGGCCCCTCCTCTGGGACGGGTCCCCTCAAAGGCCCTCCCTGCTGTGACATCCTGTGACAGGTGCCCCCACCTGGATGAGACTGCCCGGGGCTTCCCAGGGTTGCGCTCTCTGTCTCCATCCTGTCCTTGTCCTGGGTGCTCACAGGGATGGACAGCTAAGGACCTTTCTTTTTTTTAATGTTTTATTTATTTTTGAGAAAGAGAGAGAGAGACAACGTGAGCAGGGGAGGGTCAGAGAGAGAGAAGGGGTTACAGAATCCGAGAACAGGCTCCAGGCTCTGAGCTGGCTGTCAGCACAGTGTCTGACGCAGGGCTAGAACCCACGAACCTTGAGATCATGACCTGAGCGAAGTCAGACGCTTAACCGACTGAGCCATTCAGGTGCCCCAGCTGAGGACCTTTCAAAACCAGGAACCTAACCTTTCCACTATGAATTCCTCAGCCCCCATCTCCCTGCCCCCAGGCAAAATGCATCCTATCTTTGAAGTTAAGTCCACATCCTTGGCCCTGTGATGTCTATGTCCCTGCTCCTGAGGAGGGTCTTTTTTTTTTTTTTAATTTTTTAAATGTTTTATTTATTTCTAGGAGATAGAGAGAGAGATAGCATGAGCAGGGGAGGGCCAGAGAGAGAGGGAGTCACAGTCTCTGAAACAGGCTTCAGGCTCTGAGCTGGCAGTCAGCACAGAGACCGACGCAGGGCTCGAACCCACGAACCACGAGATCATGACCTAAGCGAAAGTCGGGCACTTAACTGACTAAGCCACCCAGGTGCCCTGATGGTCTTCAATATCCCATGTGAAGGACAGCAGCCCCTTCCCGGGAGTTTGCACACTCGGTTTACACAACAGGCTCAGGGCATGAGCCACAGCTGTAGGCCACGAGGAGCCGCAAACCGAGGCCCGGCCAGAGCCGTGCAGCCCCGCCTGCGCTCAGTGGAAAATGCCCCCCTCCTTCTCTCTGCTCTCAGGTGCCGGGCCCTTCTCACCAGCAGGTGCAGGGGGGACTGAGTCAGTCACTGTTGGCTCAGAACTAATGGTGAACAGCCCTAGGGGAGGTACCGCACTGGGGCTGAACCACTGTCCCCCCGGGAGCCCAGCGCACAGTCCCATCCCCCACACCTCCACCCCCGTTGCAGCAGGGACTGTTTCTCAGAATTCACGGAAGTTGCACCAAGGTTTGCCTGTTCCCACATTAGCTTAGTCCTGACTGTCTTGGCTGGGGTGCTGACTTGGGGTTGTACCAGATGCTTTATTCAGCCCATTCTTCCTGAGGGAGCCAGCAGGGGGTGAGGGCCCAGGCAGAGAGTTAGCTGCTCCCCTTCCAGGCCAGCGGGGAACTCCAAGTGCACTTACTCACATTTCTGTGTTTTCCCGGGATGATGGTGTTTACAGCTGCCTGAATAAACACACACGCCCCGAACAGATGGCGGGGGGCCCACACCTACCTTCTTCAATCAACTGTATCGCCATATGCTAGCCGTGATGAGCACACAATATTATCCCCACCACGAGGAAACTTCTGGAGTTTAGTGGTAAACACACACACCATGTGGAGCCTACAGTATCAATTTATCTCAGCCCAAGTGTGGGATACCTGGGAGTCGGCCCCCTGGTCTCAAGGACCCCGCCCAGCTGCACACGTGTGCCCAGTCACCTGCTGAGGGGGACTTGACAGGGCCATGGAACCCAGCTGCTGTGGGCACAGCCATCACCAGCCAGACTCTGGCTCCCACGGCCGCCTGTGGGGTCACAGCACGGGTGTGTGTCTCCCGGGAGCCCGTCCCTGACCCCAGGAGGAGACCCCGAGAGGGCATCTGGTGGGGGAGCAGGGCTCCATCCTGGGACCTGGGAAGTGGGGGGCGGACCCCAGGGGTGCTTGGTCAGGAGAAGCATCGTAGTCGTGAGAGCAGCTCACATGTACGGGAACGTGCTCGCCTTCTGAAATCCCAGCCACCATTGTCTCAGGGGAGCGCTGTCATTATCTCCACTTCACAGATGGAAGGAGAAGGCAGGGACAAGGGCCACAGCCGAGCTCCCGTCACACGTGGAGAAAACGTGAGCCCCACGTGGGACCGTGTGCAGCTGGGACATGAGATGCGTCCCGTGTGCAGACGCAGTGTGGATCCCTGCCTGAGTTGTGCAGGGAAAGGCAGACACGGCATGTGCGGTGCGTGGTCGGGCATGTGGAGACGCACAAGCGTACCTGGAGGGACACGCACGATGGAATAGCCATGTCTGTGGAGGGGAGTGCGCAGCGGGTCCGAGGTCCGGGCCAGACTGCATGTCAATCCCCATCGCCTCCTGTATGTGCGTGTACGGTCTGCTCACCATCCACCAAAGTGAGAGCTGCGAGTGTGGCCAAAACGCAGCCTGGGTGGCTCAGTTTGTTAAGCCTCCAACTTCGGCTCAGGTCAGGATCTCACAGTTGGTGGGTTCAAGCCCCATGTCGGGCTCTGTGCTGACAGCTCAGAGCCTGGAGCATTTTTCTGATTCTGTGTCTCCTTCTATCTCTGACCCTCCCCTGCTCTTTCTTTCTCTCTCAGAAATAAATTTAAAAAAACAAACAAACCGAAGCCTCTCGCCCTTCGAGTGGGAATAATCCTCCGCAGGCTGCTGGCCTTGAGGGCCATCCTGGGGACCCTTCCCTCTCGGACTGTGACGGAGCAGCTGACCCGTAGGGACTGGAATCGTGTCATGGGGGACGGGGACGTGCCGTCACAGGCCGGGCGGCATCAGGGGTGCAGCCGCCGGTGAGAAGTGCAGGGCAGGAGGTCCTAGGAACAGGGACGGAAGGGACCACGGACGGAGACGGCTGGTGCTTCTTCTGCTGTGTCGTGTTTACACCCCAGGAGCCCCCTGCACTCACACTCTCGTGTCCCCTGCTTCACAAGTGGGGCCTCAGGTGAGACAGTTTGGGAAATCGCCAAGGCCACTCAGCCAGTAAAGGGCGGCTCTGGAACTTGAACGTGGGTCTGTGTCATCCCAGAGCTCATGACTCATTGATCTGCTGTCCATGACGCCAGGCCTGGGTCCCAGGAGCCCTTACGGGGCCCCAGGTGCTGGGCCCCGAGCCTGGGCTCCTGGAACGGATTCTGGGGCTGTGGGAACAAGATCATATAGACCCGAGAGCTGAAACCACATCAAGTTGTGTCTCACAGTCCCAGGGGCTGAGGGTCCAAACTCAAGTTTCTGGCCAGTGTCTGATGGGAGGGATGCAGAGCGGTGCCGTGGGGACCCGGGGCATTCGTGTCCTGACTTGCTTAGAGGGACCTGGGGGCCGTGTCCCCTGCCGTCTCCTTGCACCTGGTCTGTGCCGTGTCGGGGGGGGTCCTGCACCCAGGGCACGTGTCTGCCCCGACCTCGTCCTGCACTGGGGGTCAGAGGACGGTTACCTCTGGAGGGAAGGGACGGAGGAGGGGCCGGCAGGGGGCTGAGGGCTGAGTCCCTGTCACTCTCCTGGCCGGCCCGGGGCAGGGACGGGTGTGACCACCTTCCCCCTGATGCAGGTGCTGAGGGCTTGTGGCCTGAGGGCTAAGGGTGCTGGGCCCGGGGTGGGAACCCCCGTCCCATGAGGGAGACCAGAGGGACTGGGGTGAAGGCCTGTCATGCAGCCTCACCGAGTCAGGAAGTCCTTCCCAGGAGGGGCCGGGACCCACCTCCGTCAGTGCCCACCCTGTCACTTGCTGCTGCATCCCCTTCTGTCCCCCAGTCCCTGAAACTCATCGCGTGGGCTTCCAGCCTGTGCAGGTCAGGATCAGGGGCAGCTATACTGGGGGCTGAGTCCCAGGGCCTCTTGGACTGAAATCCATGTCTGTGTGGAGCTGAGTGAGCTCAAGGGCAACAGGGAGAGTAGGGCTCCCCCTCACCCCTGCACTTGGGGAGAGGGAGCAGATCTTGGGGCTGGACTCAGGCCTCCCTCCTCACAGGAGGTGGCCCGATGATGCCCTCCATCCCGGACACATGGGCGTCCCCACAGCGCAGCCCCAACATGGCAGCAGGCTCATACCAGCAGCGAGGGACAGGGTATGAACCAGACAGAAGTCACGCTCCTGTGATATCTGCTGTCACTGAGTGACGTCCATCACTGTAGCTGAACTCAGCTCCTCAGAGCAAGTCACAGGGCGCGGCCCCCGCTGCAGGGCCAGGGCTCCCACGGCGTGTGGGCGGTGGGGCCTCTGCAGCCACGGAGGAAGCTCCTCCTACACTTGTGCACTTGGCATTGACCCAAATGTGCTCCGTGCATTCCACTCGTGATATCATCACGTCCAGCCTCTCAGGGTCAGGCAGTGTGGACACCCTGGAGAGCAGTTCAGGACCGTGTTCAAGGGGACGCCCCACCAGGACCAGGACTGATTCCAGCCTCGCCCCAGGTTCACGCTCTGTCCCGCCCCCCGGAGTCCAGGGATCCACCGGGTGGAGTTCATTACCACGATGGGGTCTTTGGTTTTCTCCTCGTTCTTAATGAAACACACTCACACTTTGTGTTTCCAATGCCCTAGGCGCCTTCAGCACTGCGGTCAGGAGCTCTGGGGCCCGTGGATCTGGAGTGGAGGATTCCAGAAACCTAGTTTCCCTGAAGGGGACTCAAGGCGGTTCTGTGGTGTTTCATGTCACCAGACGTCCAGAAGTACCTCCTGAAGCCAAGCTGGAGAAGATTTCTTGGGCCGTTAAAAACGAGTCAAACTACATAGTCCTCCTGCACGTCTCTCCTGGGGTGGATGTTCCAGAATGGGTCACCTCCAAGGACAAGTTCAAGAAGAGGGTCCACGTGCTCAACGAAACGACCCTGAGGATTGACAAGCTGACCCTCGAGGACAGTGGGTGGTACCGGGCTCGATGCTCCTTCAGCACAGGGATAGAAAATGCCCAGTATTTCCACCTCAGTGTCTACGGTACGTGGTGGCCCCTCCCCCAGGACAGGCTTACCCCCTGCTTTGGTCCCTGGGAGTGTCCGTGGGCCCCTTGCAGGATCCCTTCCAGACCCCAGACTTCAGGCTCTGCTTCTCCCCTGAAATCAGAAGCAGCGTGTTCAGCACGAGTGGAGGCGGGGCTGAGACTCCCAGCAGGGGTGGATCCCTCGGTGCTTCAGGACAGAGTAGGGACACTTGGGGAGATGGGGGTTTACGGGAACCTTTACTGTGCTCTCGGGACACGTGTCCTTAACTGGTGTGGTGTCAGTTGTTGCTGCTGTCATAGATGGACCCACAGGTGTCTTAGCGCAGCCTCAACTGCGTGTGCACCTGTGTGTGGGGCAGGGTCAGCCCCGGGGCCACCGCGATGAGGGTCAGGTGAGAGCAAGGCTGTTCCCCTTTCTGGAGGCTCCGGGGAAGGATCCACGTCTTTCCTGTCCCACCTTGTAGTGGTGGCCGCGTCATGGGCCAGTGGCCCCTTCCTGTACCTGCAGCTTGTCCTGTGGGCTCGGTCCTTCTGGTTCTGCATCCGTCCCGCTCTCTCATCCTCCGTCACGTCTGAGGGCCCTGTGATCCCTCTGCTCCTGTCTGGGGATCCAGACCTTCCCTAGTTGACAGCCTGCTGGATCAGAGCCTCAGGTCCCCTTTGCCATGGACCCTAAGACACCTGCGGGCTCTGAGGCTTAACACATGGTCATCTTTGGGGACCCTGGTCACCAGGCACAGTCACAACCCACGTGGGGTCCTCCCCGCCCTGACCCTCCTCGTTCTCAGCACCAGCCCGAGGCCACCCTCACTCCCAGACTCCCCGGTGCAGCTCTGAACCTCCAGGGACACAGGAGACGTTCACAGGGCGGCCCTTCCTCAGACACGCAGTCAGCACCTCCCTCTGTCTCTGTCTCTGTCTCTGACCCCCCAGTGGAGGGAGACATCCTGCTCCGGGGAGAAAAGCTCCTGCAGCGTCAGGTCGGTGAGGTTCCCAGAGGGCCTGTTCCCCTGTGTCTTGTTCCCCGTGGGGTCGGCAATTTCAGTGCACGTTCTAAGAGTGTTTTGGGTGTCCAGTCCTCGGGGACCCACTGTGTCCCCCCCAGCCTCCTCTCCTGCTGGGTGCCTGGGACCCATCTCTTGGTACCCAGGTGGCCTTTTGCAACTGGGGCCTTGGGGTCCTGGCCACCATTGGAGCAGGAAGAGGGGGACTGGGGCCAGAATAAGACATCCTACTGTCCCAGACTCTGTCTCATAAAAGACACCTCCCTTTCTTAAAATCAATGGTTTCTGGTAGGAGGGATTGAGTCTGTATTTTCTCCTGGGAGACTTTTAGTCGTGCTCATTCTAGTTGAATCCCCTGGGGCTTCACTCAGTGGCTCCTTCCTTATCGTCACTTTCTGTATATTTGGGTCAAGTCTGTCTTATCTGTTAAATGGACTCACCTTCCTCCTGGGAGGAGCCAGGGCGTCAGTGAGATTCTGCACGAGGAAGCAGGAGTGTGATGCTCTCCACTCACGGGACACCCTGTCCTTTGTCCCTCCTGCCCCAGAGCCCGTGCCCCGTCCCCAGGTCCTGGCCGAGGTTCTGTCCCTCACACGAGACTGGTGCAACGTCACCCTGGAGTGCCACACCCCGGGAGCCACAGGGGCCGTGAACGTGTCCTGGGAGAGCAAGGGCCTCCCCAGGGAGCTGGAGCAGAGAGGGGCCCCAGGACCGGCCTCCAACCCCTGGACCCTGGCTCTGAACCTGCCCCTGAGCCAGCCCAGCCCCAGCGTCACCTGTGTGGTCAGCAGCCCGGTGGACCAGAAAACTGTCACCCGGGACCTTGGGGAAGTCTGTGTCCACGGTGAGTGTTCCTGCCTGAGGGGAGGGGACTCCCGGGGCTCAGGTCCCCGTGGTGAGGGTTCCGGGTTCTGTCCCCCATGTTTATGTCACCACCTGCCCCCTGTCACCTTGTCCAGGAGGCTGGCAGGTGCATCCAACTTGCATCTGCATTTCACTGACACTCTCTTGCTCCTCTTAACTCCTCATCCCTGCTGTTTCATGCAGCCCTCTGACTTAATTCTCCACTCCTACAGAGTTATTTGAGGAACCCAGGAGGTTTTCAGGAAAGCGAGTAGGGGTGAGTCAGTGGTCTGTGGCACCTGAGGGAGTTCCCCAGCCGCTGCCTGCAGGGCTCAGGGCTCGGGGCTCCTGTGCCCGGTTCTGGCCTCAGGGACACACGTCCCCCCCACGTGCTCGCCTGGGTTCCCGGATGTGTCCTGCTCTCCTCAGCCCCGGGTTCTGGTCATGCTGCTCCCTCTGCCGCCAGACCCTCCACGTCCAGAGTCTCCCTTCCCACTCACTCCCGTCCAGGGACCCTTCTCTGCAGCCGCCCCGCGGGGTGTGGACCTGCAGCCACACAGGGCTGTGATCTGAGTTCATGTCCATCTCGCACTGACCTTGACCAGGACCCACAGCCACTTTGGCACCGGGCCCTGTGGGAGCTGCCGCTGACCTGCCCTCACGCCTCCCTCCTCTAGGGGGCGCTCAGGGCCCCACCCTGAGAGGTGCTGCTCTGGCCAAGGGTCAGTGTCCTGTGGGGCCTGGGCAGCTGGGGGCGGGGCCACGGCAGCTCCTGCTGTGACCTCCTGTCCCACATGGGCCTCGGGCCCATTGTCCCTTGTCTCATCCTTCTTCACCGTCCCTGAGAGCAAGAAACAGGTCCACAAGGACAGGCCGGTTCTGCCCACGTGGGAGCCATCCTGGGGGCTCTTGGGGTCGCGCTGCTGGTCCTCGGAGCTGGGCTGTACCTGCGGTGCTCACGTGGGAAGAGGAAGAGCTTGGAGACTGGGAGAGGCAGGTGCACGTCTCCTTCCCCTGCCCACACCCCTCCCTCCTTCCCCCACTGACCCTTAGCTCCCTTCCCTGCATTTTGCTGCTCAGGGAATGTCCCCAAGGAGGCTGGTGGGTGTGGCATCACCGTGGGGGTCCTGGTGGGGGGAGGGCAAGGTTCCCAAGGCTCAGATTCAGCTCCATGTGTGTGGGGCCCAGGTGCAGGGTCGCAGGAGAAGCACAGGGACCAATGTGGTGGCGTCCTCTATGCAGAGCTCAGCAGGCCGATGTCCCAGGACGGCAGGGACAAGGTGAGTCTGGGTCACCCCCGTCCCTGTGAGCCTGGGTGTGAGTTGGTCAAACCCACTCATCTGCACTTTCTGGCCTCATGTTTGTATCCCTTCCAGACATGCAGTATTAACACGGGGTCCATGCAGTGCTGGGCGTTGTGGGGGGAGGTCATGTGAGCAGTATGGCATCTGTGGGGTCCCTCTGGGACCTCTCTGTCCCTCAGCTGTGGCAGGAACCCTCTGTCCACATTCCAGGGATCGGAGGAGCCACATCAAGAACAGGAGAGTCCTCTCCATACTGTCTACACTGAAGTCCGCACGCCAGGCCAGGTCAGGATGGAGGTTTAATTGGAAGAAGCAGTCTCTGGCGACACCTCAGTTATGTGTGTGAAGCCTGCACCCTGGTCCCGCTCCTCCCCCCGTGACAGCTCTGAGCTTGGACGGATTGAGCCGACATTGGTGAATCTCTATGCAAATTCCTTGTGCACAATTTCACCAGAAGACACACGTCATGGTAGATCGAGGGGGGGAACTGGGTATGCAAATCTATCCAAACCTGTGTCCAGTCCAGCTCAGCATCTGCTCCTTGGCCTCCCTGCACGGACCCCAGGCCCCCCCATGGACCACATGATTCTGCCTGTCAGAGCCCTCAGCCTCTGGGACACAGTCATTACGAATTCACACCGTCCAGCCTCCACCAGGTCACCACCTCCCACAGTTAGTATGTGCTCGAGAGCTATTCACATAGTACTGGGACCCGCAGGGCTTGCTGAGCTGCGGCTCCGGGACAGGGACGGACCTCGTCGTTCTCACGTCCCTCACGCCCCGCGTCCTCATAGACGCTCGTGAGCTGGGACCCTTGTGCCCACTCTACGGACGAGACGCAGGAGACCAGAAAGGCAGTGCTCACGGCCGCCCGAGCAGCTCCCCAGCCGGGGTGCAGCCCCAGGGCCCGTGTTCCAGGCCCCCGTCTGCTCTCCCGGGCCTGGGACCCCCTCCCTTCTTCCCGGCGTGCTGCCTCCTGGCCCAGCCTCCTGTTTCTCAGGGAAAGAGCAGAAGCTGGTAACTGACAGTGTCTCAAAGGAGCACACACACACCAGCCTCCAGCCTCTGCTGTGTGTGCATCAGAGCTAAGGCTCCCAGAAACATCCGGATTGCCATTGAGAGGAGGATTCTGTGTCTGAGAACAGGGTCGGCACCTGGCGAGGGGCAGAGCAGGGATGTGTCTGAACTGTGCAGTAAATGCTCTGAAACAAGCCCCTTGTGCTCCAGGGTCCTATAGCCTCACCCCTGCGGGTGGGCGGGGAGCAGGGTACGCTGGTTTGCATGAACTACAGCATCTGATGGAGGGGTGAGTAACCTCACTGCCCACAACCAGTGAGAGAGCAGCCCCAACTTGAAGTCTGAAATGATTCCTATTTTTAGTGTAGACCAGTCAGTGGCGTGAGGTCTGGAGGTGAGTACACAAGACCACAGTGCCACCCCCGAGGTTCACTGGGCTCCCTGGCACCGGGGACCTACCCTGCCCTGAACTCACTTTGTTGAGCCCGACTGGATGACCCGCCTTCCCTGCAGACCGGCTCAGAGCCTCCCTGCCCTCCCCACGGCCTGGACGACAAGCTGTTACCTGTGTGTTAGATCCTACTGTTACAGTGACAGGTCACTTCCCTTCCTGGTGGCTTCTGCCTTGTATTCTTGGCAAACTCACTTTCTAGTCTTGGTAATTTTCTGTAGATTCCTGGGAATTTCTATGTAGACAAACATATAAATAACGTCTATACAAAGATTGGTGTTCTTCCCTTTCTAATCAACATCTCATTTTATTTATTTTTCGTGTCTTATCGAATGTGGTCACACTCCCCCGTGATGCTGCACAGGAGTGGTGAGCACAGCATCGCTGGCTCCTTCCCGACATTAAGAGGAAAGTGGTCAATTTTCCTCCATTAACAGTCTGTTAGCTCTTGGGTTTTTGTAAATATGTTTTATTATATTTGTCAGTTTCATTTTCTCTACTTCCCTTTTTTATTTCCTTTCTTCCACTTACTTTTATTTTTATAGACTCATAAATTAAATGCTTAAATTATCAACTAGGAGCACTTCCTCTTTTGTACAATATGCCTTTAGTCACATATATTTCCTTACATCACCTCGTTAGCTTCTTTTCCCACACGTTTTCATATCTTGTATTTTCATTTCCATTCACTTCACATGTTTAAGTATTTCCCTTCAGACCCCCTCTTCCTCATGTGGGTTATGAAGAGTCGTTTTGTTTCATGGCTAAGTGTTTGGAAATGTCCTGTTATCTTTCTGTTACTAAATTCTACTCTAGTCCTACTACAGTCAGAGGAAGTCTATTACTTGAGTGCGTGAAAAGCCGTTGGCGTCTGTGTGGTGGCCCAGGACAGGACGGAGTCTGCTGGTTGGGCTGAGCGGTCTCCAAGCATCAGCTAGGTCAAGGTCAAGTTTACTGCTCCGTCGTCTTCTGATTTCCCAGCCACTCGCCGCACTGCGGGACAGGGGTGCTTGGCTCTGATGGTGGCGGTGTAGCCTCTGTCTCCCCTCAGTCTATCCGGCTCCGCCGCGTGTCTGCTGCCCTGTTGTCAGGTGGGGGCATGTTCAGGGTTCTTCTCACTTCCTGCTGCATTGACCTTCCATTATCGTCTGCCGTTCTTCTGGATCCCTGGTAACTTCCCAGGCTCTGAGGTCTACTTCTTCTGATATCATTTAGCCCTTCTACCTTTCCTTGTTCTAGTGTTTGTGTGATCAGGTGGCTCATTTTATTTGTCACCTGGCTGGGCCCCAGTGCTGAGAATTGAGGTCAGGTATTATTCTAGATGTTTCCATGAAGAGATGTTGGTTGGATAAACTCTGAGTAAAGAAGACTCCCTCCAGAATGTGGGTGAGCCACACCTAATCAGTGGAAGCCTAGAACAGGGCTAAGACTGCCCTCTCCTGAGGAAGAAAGACTTCAGCAGCAGAGGGTTTGGGGAGTGGGCCTGTAGCACTGGCTCCTCTCTGTGGGTCCAGCCTCGTGACCCCCAGCAGCAGATCTGCCCTTGTCTCTGCCAAGCCCCCAACCCTGCGGACTCTAGTCCTGCCAGCCTCTACAAGAATGTGAGCCAAACCTTACAGACACCTGTCTAGATCTGTAAGCATCCCTTCAACCCGGTTTCCTGTGCGAGCCATTCTGAGCCCACTAGTCAAGCAAACTCCTTTTGAGGTTAAAGCAAGTTTTCATGATCTCTTGCCATAGATGACGACCGATATCCACCCCCACTCAATTGTTTCTGCTTGAGTACCTATCCCCAAGTTACCTCGTTGATCAACATCGGAGTGCCTTGTCCCCTTATTCTGGCCCTGGTATGATGATTGCACCTTTGAAGGAACTCTTTGTGGGAACAACTTCTTGTATGATTATGGGAACAGACATCATGTCTCCGGCAGGTTCTGTTTCCCTCCATACTTGCCCTTGAGCTATGAACAGGGAAATGACCCTTATATGAAAGATTGACCTTTCCACGTACAATTCTGTTTCTACCGTTGCATTAGTCCAAGAGGTTCATACAGCTCAACCTGTAAATCAACTAACCAAAAATGTCTCTCATGCCCTAGCTATTCAAGGAATCATAGACAAAAAACTAAACACAAAAGTAAATGCACTCGATCAGGTTCATAACCTGGAGACTGCTTCAGCTTCTCTGTCTCCCCCTCTCTCCGCCCCCTCGTCACTCCCTCTCTGCCTTGCTGTGGAAATGAGCTAAACTCTTTAAAGGTATGGTTGGCTTGGTGGTTCCATAAGGAATATAACTGGACAATTAAGTTTTGCCTGGAGACAAAGAACCTACTTAGAGAAGAGGAACAGATAAGAGCCGAACATAAGTTACTACATATCCCTTTGCTAACTGATGATGTACAGCACCCCCTTCCCTAATGCCTACATTCCACAAACACTCTCCCTTACCCTGGCAGCTGTGATGAGGATAGATAAGAGTATCTACTACTTAACCTATGACTTAATCTTAGTGTTAATAAAATGTGAACACCCTGTTATATCTTAGTTACTCAACCTCACTATAATTGGGGCAGTTTTGCAAGAATACTTTTGTAAAACCTAATTCTGTACATTTTCCAAAACATCTTATCACAGAGAACTATCCATTGTAGAAATACCTTTTTTTGATGCCTTGTTAACAGTTGACCTATATAAAAGACACCAAAACCAACAGGACAGAGATGCCTGCCTGGTGATCAGAAAGGATCTTGGGGCTCTCTCACTCCCTCCCTCGCCGACACCGTCCATCCTTCAGAGACCCCTGGCCCGGCCAGAGCCGGCCACCGGCAGATTCCCTCGAGAATCCCGAGTAATACTGACGGCATATCTGTTCCCATCATTTTATTTGAACCCAGCTCTATGGAGCCAACAGGGAAGGGTGGCTACAGAGGGAGGTGACCCCAGCCGCGTGTGCAGCTGCCCGTCCTCGTCCCCGGCTGTGGCGCCCCCCCCCCCCCAGCCTCT